TACATTACTGCTGGTGATATATTCATCTTTCAACGCTTATCGGAATCGAAACCGTCGCCGTCAAATATTTTGCAGAAACTCCAGCGTTCTCTCACAGCCATTAACACTGTATCTCACTAACATTTTGCCATCTAATTTTAATATCAGTCGATGTAGGTGCGTTTTGCAAGCTGAGCAACTACGTTACGCTGCATTAGTTTTTCAAGAAAATATCGTGTCCCTGCATTTCCTCGCGGAAACGACCGCAAGAACAGAAAATGATCAAAATATATTATGATATTGCCATATCTTAGAAACTGAAAATATTATAACTCAAAACTTGCAGAAAATTATTGAAATTCAATGCTAAATACACGTTTCATTAGTTCTTAATTACACAAACATTACATTATGCTTGAATTATATTACAATTTCTTTCTGGAGATCACGGTTGTCACCCCCTGCCTCCCACACACGATTGTTTTTCGGTTACTGGAATGGCATTGGTATGTGACTGTTGGTGCATTTTTGCATGCTTTTAAGGAATTTCAGGGATGATTTTGATTAAAAATAGGAAGCAAAAAGACCAAAGAAAGTCAAATAGGGATGAACTAACCATTGAATAATGATTAAATTTGGATTCAGATAGGCCTACGCCAGTTTGAATTTGTTATGTGAAATAAGAAGAAAAAGGTTTTAATTCGACGTCCCCCTCCACAGTAAAGAGCAAATGGTTTCGTACTATAACGACAATAATATTTTAATTAATTTATCATAAGGCTATATTATAGAGCCGAGTACAGCATTCATATATTTTTAACTTCTCATTCTCATACGAATGCAATCGTATATGCAAAACTAGTTAAATTTAGTCGAATTGCAACGTCATATATTATTTACCAAAAATCTACAAAAGCGTGAAGGAGTTAAAATGATAATAACTTTTATTAGAATGAAACAATTTATTAATACAATCTTTTCAAGAAAACTTCGCTCAAATTCAATTCAAATTAGAGTCATAATTGATATAAATTACTCGTATAAAACATAATTATACGTATATAACATAATTGAAAGCCAACTTCTTTTATCCTCTGCACTTTGAATGTTTAGGAAAAATTATCAAATAAAATACCGTGAGTTTTTAAGAATGTATCTTTGTTTTTTGCCCAAAGATGTTATTTTTTGTTTTCTTTTATCTATAGCACGTAGGCAAACAATCTTTCTGTTTTTCATGATATTTACTTCTCATTTCATCTCAAGCACTCAATATGACTTGAACTATCCCAACGTCATAAAAATCTGACTGTGGGATTTTTAATATATTTATTTACCAATTTAATGTGCTGTACTATTTGTACAGTGCGCAGTTACAGTGCACATTCTATGCATTCTCGCATTTTCCCTTCTGAGCATTTAACTTCTTTTTACTTTCTCGCCTTCTGCGTATTTAAAGTATTTCCGAGTCCAGTTGTTTTCTTTCTTTCTTTATTTATTTATTTTTCCTTCTTCTTCTTAATTTTGTCGATATTAAGTCAAATATACTTTTAACACAAAAGGAATTTTTAGTGACGCTTTGTAAAGAAAAGTGACTTGGCTAAAAAGCATACTAATATGTAAATAAGAGATCAATTAAAAGCACTACTATAAGTACATAGAGGTAGTGTAATAGTAACAGACTCATGATCGTTAAATGATACTAATTAATTTGGGTGGATGCTTTTTTAAGAATGAGAGTTGGAGAATGTAATTAAGACGTATGATTTTGAAAAAAGAATTGTGTTAACCGTACGCCACTAAGCGCGTTTAAGAATGAATGAATTACAATGAATTACAAACACTGAAAGAATTAGTGAATCTCCGCTAATAAGGCACCGCATAATACCTGCATATTCGATTAATTTGTAAGAACAATTCTACACACAGAAAATACATTAATGTGGATTAATCTACATTAATTTCAATGTACTGTGTGCATTAAATTTAATGCTTAAATTAAAATCAATGTAGATGTGATGTACGACTGTACATGAAACGTAATGCAGTTTTTACATTAAAACGAGATTAATGTGTTTGTACATTAAATTTAATATTTAAATTAAAATTCTCGCAGATTTAATATATAATTATGGAATATAATTACTGTTTCAAAACTTAGAAATATTTTATTCCCCTATTTTAACAAACGTATAAGTTTAAAATATAATTTTTATTTGAGCTTTATATTTTATTCTGTACAATAAATCATATTTTCTTCCACAAAATCATTTAGTTTATTATTGTATTTGAACATTCTCTATTCTCAGTTGTGCTGCAGGTTATGTGTTAATATGGATATGTTGTAGATATGTGTAGCAGATTACAAGTGACTGTCTAAATATAAGAATGGAACATACAAGACTATGAACTGAAGTTCAGGAAATTAGTGTGACATAGTAAGTTCAAAGTAAATAACTGTAATCCTGGAAGAAAGAGTTCTACTATTTTGCAAAGACGTCATTACCGAGACCGTTATACCGTCAATATCGTTAAAAATAATGTTTCATTAAATAACGTATTACTATCGATAGAGCAATTGAGATAAAACTGTTACCTTACATCCTTAAGAATGAGGATGAAGGCCAGGGTGAGGGTTGTTAGTTTGTCAGCAGTACTAAAATTCAAATTCGTAGTTTGTTTGCTGATGCACATATGCTTTCTACTAGTCGGGAACGAAAATTTCAAGTCATCAACTGACGCTAACCACGTTCTGTTTATACTTTTGTTCATAATTCAACAATGTACAGTAAAAAAGTAGAGATTCTGGGATACACAAAAAGGTGTGCAGATAATATACGTTGTCCCAAAGATTTTTACTGTGACGCGGCGCGACTATCCCACTACTCAAGTGTCTCAATTTTGTTTATGTTTAAAGAGTAACGCACACGATGTTATAAGAATAGGTGGAAAGATATCTGCATATAGTTTCGTTTTCTCACTAAAACTATTTGTGACCAACAGAGCATGATGGGACTACGCACAGAATATGAAGTTTCCGAGTCGAGACAGAAATGCGAGCATCGTTTACAAGTGTTAGAGGATAGCGTATAAACGCTTAAACAAATATCTAAACACTGAAATTAGAAAACAACTATGCGTGAAACGCAGTCGCCACGATCCTGCCGGGTTCGTGCACAGGCAATTCGACTTGGAGATTTCCGTGCACGGGCGACAGGGCACCTCAGGCTTAGTGAGATATACGGTCGGTGTGCAATAATCGTTTCTCCGATGTAGCGATAGAAACTTCGCGGAATCCAAACATTTCTTTTGTTCTTTTCACAAATATGCAATATTGATGTTTATCTATCAGCAATAAATACTTATTTTTAGAATCAAAATAATTCCATCGTGGCGTCGGCAAAAAGGCAACGTTTCTTCACACTAACACATAGTTAAATGAACGATATGGTTTCAATTTAAAGGCCCAGATGACTACTATTTATTAAATTTGTGGAAAATGAAATTTAATTCACTTATGATGCAAACGTCACGTCATATTTTGGGTCAACCGAAACCGAGCGGTATACCGGCTATTAGAGGGAACTTGACAGTTCTCTTTCACTGGGCTCCGCATCCGTTCGTTAAGATATCACCAAGAATTAAACCCATTATCGACTAATTAATAGTTCTGTGTCGACTAAATATTCGATTATACAACATTTGTGAATACAACAAAGAAAACTAACCTTACTCTGTTTGGCACATTACTGTCATGTTGAGTTGAATGTACGTTAACATGTCACATCCTCCGTTACTTGCTAACAAAAGGTAAAGTCAGTGTTCGCAAAAAAGCCAGTTCGCTTTCTTTCCAATCATTGTCCGGAAACGACCTGAAATATACCTAGTAAATTAAATAGCGAGTGTGATTTCAGCACGGAATGAAGACAGCGTGGAGTCAAAACATCCACAATTTGAACGTTTGACACAAAACGTGAGAAACATATTCGACAATTGTATCGCATTAAAAGCTTAACAGCACTTGTCACAAAGCGCACTCAGCGCAAACCTCGAAGGCGCCGACCTGTGCAGGAAACGTGTAGGCACACCTAAACCCTTAAACACCTGAAACGACAAAATATTCAGAGTTCTCTTCGTTTCAGTATTATAAGATCATATGGACGGCACAATTTTAACACGTGCCACAAAATTTGGCCGTTTTGCGATTACCAAGTCATCCGAAAGATAAGATCGACCGAATTATGTAGACAGATTTCACAGATAGGAATTTTTAAAAAAATGATAAAATGGCGGAAATTGGTCACAATTTTATTAGTTTGTGATGGAAACGGCGTTTTTCCTCTCAACTGGAAAGTTGCATTTTTTGATTCGTGTTGTTAAAAGTAGTCACCCTATATACTATCTTTAATTGGCCGATATATTGAAATATTTCTTGTTCTATGCCATTGACATTTTTATTGTCGTGCGATATTAACTATGCACGAGCGAATAAAGGGACACCTTACCTTAATATTGTCTTAACTATTACGAAAACAATTGACATTATGTTAGAAGAACAAATATTTTTGGATAAAATATAGTACTTTGAGTATCTGAGAAGTTCGTTTAAATATGGGGAACTATTTTTAAATCAATTTTAGGCAACAACGAAACGTCAACGTCAAATATATTACTCAAGGCTTATTCATTTTTAACCAGAATTCCCATAAAGTTAACTTCTTTAAATAAATTTAACATATTAACAAACTCAGGACAAACAAAACATTGGAGAGAATTTCGAATTGAACAGCACTTCCGACACATAATCGCACGTAAGTTTCAACCAACACGGGCTAGTTTAAATTTCACTACACACCCTTCCAGACTAGAAACGTCAATTAGCCAACCAGCAATCTGTGCCATTTCAGAATGCAAATCAGTTGCATACTTCGCAAAATAAGTCGAAAGATTTTTACTTTCAAATCCTTCCCAGATGTCGACAATGTCAACGATGTTGCGACGCAGCGCGCGTGCCAGCCCCTTACCTTCACGTGGAAACTGCACGTGCCAGCGCGGACGCTCGCCTCGTCCGCCTG